ATTCTATTCAAAAAGTCTTAAAAGTAAATGATTTGGATAAAATTGATCTAAAAATGAATACATAAAACTCAAACGCTCTTTCAAATTAAAATAAAAAGAAGTGAAACCATTAATTTTTAGGGAAAATTGGCCTAAGGTCCCTCCCGTACTTTTGATGGGAGGAGAGGTCCAAAATAATATGTTTTGATGGCTAAGGTCCCTCAAATTTATTTTAGGTCATAAAGTACCTAAATTACCCTTCCTTTATAACATAAATTTGTTTGAATATTATATTGTTGACTTAACTGATAGATTTTGGAAACCGAATTTGCAGTGGAGATTTCGTCGGAGTTTTTAGTGGAGATTTCATGGTGGAGATTTCGTCGGAGATTTCAGTGGAGTTGACGAGAAATATTGCTATGATCGTGTAGATTTCGTTGGAGATTTCGTCGGAGATTTCAGTGGTGTTACAGTGTGTTGATCGTGTAGATTTTCAGTGGAGTTGAATCAGGTTTGTTTTCAATGGAGATACCACATGCATTTTGATTTTTATTTTGAATTTTTGTTTAGAGAAAGGCCAGTTTGATAGAGTTGATTTTTATTTTGGAATTAATTTTTTATTATTTGTTTTTTAATCAATTTCAAAGAGTGTTGACAGTGTGTTGATCGCGTAGGTTTTTGAGTGGAGTTGAAACAGGTTTGTTTTCGATTTAGATTCCACATGGATTTTGATTTTTGTTTTGAATTTTTGTTTAGAGAGAGGCCAGCTTGATAGAGTTGATTTTTATTTTTGAAATTAATTTTTCATTCTTTGTTTTTTTATCAATTTCAAATAGTGTTTACAGTGTAGGTGATTTTGATGTTTAGAGTTCATTTTTCGTGCTCTGTTTTTTTTCAACATGCTGATCAATGATAAGTTTTGTTCTATGTTTTTTCAAACCAGAGAAATTTCATTTTCTGCACTTTTGTTTGTGTAGTCCAGAGGAATTTATAAGTGCATATGGACATATTATTAGAAGTTTCTAATGTAGATAGAATATGAGAAAGTGAATGTAAGTTCATAAATTTCTCTAGACTTGTATTTGTAGTTTAGAGAAAATTGTAAGTTTGTTACTCACTTTCAATTTGTAGTTCAGAGAAAATTATATGTTTGTAGAAGATGAATAAAAGTTTTTGTTTCTCTAAGGAAAAGCTATTTTTTGTGTTTTTTCTTTCAGTTTATATGGACAATACAGTGTTTTTTGTTACCTTGAAGGTGCATATAAATTTGTAAATTTCTCTGGATTTTTCTATGAGTGCAATATTATAGAATGACGCATAGAAAATTGTTAGCTTGTAGTGAGGTGAAAATCACGGAGAAGCCTATAACTTCATAACAAATATTCTGTGTGATTTTTTTCTATGATTGTGTTTAATAGTTAGCAGTAAATTTCTCTGTGATTTTGTTTTTTATCATCTTGAAGGTGAATATCAGTTTGTAGATGTCTTTGGACTTTTATTTTAAGTTCATAGAAAATTATAATTTTTAGAAATTTCTCTGGACTTTTATGTTGTTCTTATGAAGTGTTTCTATGCTAAACAAATTATTTTTTTTGTTTTTTGTTTCAGTTTCAATGGATAGTGCAGTGTTGTTGCTGTTCAAATATGGGAATGATACTATTGTCATTAATGTTTCATGCGAATTGAATTTTGAGGAATTGGTTGGCGTTTTGTGTAAAACATGGAGAATTTGAAACCTGAGACTATGTGTATGTCATATTCTATTTTGGGCCATCCGAATTGTATGGTTCGAAATAATATTGATTTTCTGAATATGTTGAGGGTCGTTTGTGCACGCGGTGTTGATATAATTGATGTTTCAGTTACTAGATGTAGTACTTCTGATGAAGAGGATGAAGTGGAGTCTAATTGGGTAGATGTTGTGGATGGTGAGTGTGATAGGCTGGTGGATATTGAAAGGAATTCACTTTCTAAGTGTTGTTCTCACCAATAAAAGGTGTTATTGTCGGCTAGTTGGCGGAATAATATTACGAGTGTTGGACAAAAGTTTGAGGGTGGTGTGGTTGAGTTCCGTACTTTTTTATGCAAGTATGCTATTGAGGTTGGTTTTCAGTTTACGTATGTTAAAAATGACAAGCTGAGGGTTACGGCAGAATGTGCATATAAGGAATCAAGGGGATGTATGTGGCGTGTACATGCTTCTGTTGAAAAAACAAATGGGTTCTTCTACATAAGGACTTTGAACAATGAACATACGTGTGGTGTGGCGGTTCGTACGAGTAAACATTCGAGGATGACTTCCAGCTTGGTTTCTGGGCTGATACTTGAAGAGGTAAATGCAAAACCTTTAACTCGTCCAGTGGATGTTGTGAAAGAAATGAAAGACAAGTATGGGGTCTCAATCACCTATTTGTTTTAAGGGAAAATTGGCCTAAGGTCCCTCATCTACTTTTGATAGGAGGAGAGGTCCAAAATAATATGTTTTGATGGCTAAGGTCCCTCAAATTTATTTTAGGTTATAAAGTACCTAAATTACTCTTCCTTTATAACATAAATTTGTTTGAATATTATATGGTTGACTTAACTGATACATTTTGGAAACCGAATTTGAAGGGGAGATTTTGTCGGAGTTTTCGT